ACCCTCACCCTCACCCTCACCCTCACCCTCACCCTCACCCTCACCCTCACCCTCTCCCTCATCCTTCAAATAACTATTATATTTATCCATCAGGCTGGAATCTCTTACTAGAGTACCAACATCGTCTGATGATGAGGTAAGTTGAAATGACTACCCGACCTTAAATTTGGGCCTAACGTTTTTTTCCTATTCATGAAAACGAAATTGCCCTACTAGCATAGTTCTATTCTATCCTTCGTTTTCGGAGAGTAAAATTAGCAGGGGTTGGACGAAATCTGCCGAATTCTGAACGATATCCAGGTGCAAAGCGATATTTTTAAGTTTGAAATTTTACTTTTGTATTCAAGTCTGATGAAGGTGAAGATAACTACAATGAAATTCGCCGAGTGATTGAATCCTCCATTCGTGAACAGCTGGCAGGCAGACCCTTCTCGGATAATAATTCACCTGACAGTAGCCCAAGTTGTAGACCAGAGGGACTGATGGGGTTGTGTTCTAGGATTGGCTGTCTTAACCCTCGTCTCAATAGACAATACACAGGGCAGTTGTCTTCGTACTGCTGTTACGACTGTCTGAGGATTGATAAGAGAAACAAGAGATTAAGGAAAAAGAAACAAGGTAATGGTAGAAGAAATTAGCTTTGGCCTAATGTCCACGTGTCATTCCCTTGAGGCGCCTCACTAGCTACCCCAAAGCCCTCATCAGACAAGCGTAAACCAACGCAAAACAACTTCCTCCATTCTCTTGCGTTTGCGCTTGCATCGCTTCTTTTCATAGTAAAAACATGGAATTTTGTCTCCTTGCGTCGGCTTGATAAATTCATTGATTTTCTTGCAGAAAAACGACGCCGAGAAGCCGAGAGACAAGCTGCCATGCCAGTAGCAAATTTCGAGGACACACAACTTGACTTAGACTTAATGCGCGCGATTGAGCTTTCCTTGGACAAGCCAAGTTGCTCATCTAAACGACAGTTAACGCGTCAGCATTCTAGTTCTTCCAGTAGTTCAGCTTCATCCGAAGAAAACCATGCCCAACAAGAAACTGCGCGCAACTTAGTTGAAGAAGAGAACACTTCTCTTCAAAAAGCTTTGGAATTATCGTATGGTATCTTAGTTAAAGGTTAGTATTTGTACAACTCGTAACAAGAACATCACACATGGACACAAGAACGCCACTTACGACATGGAACTAGGTGACACGAGCATTTGCATCATGAAACTACGCAGAACACGACCATTCAGATTTTGAAACTGCGCAGAGCACGAACATGCAAAACACATAATATTGTGAGGGACAAGGCATGCGCAACATGAAACTGTTGGGACACGGCCACACGGAACTCAAAACAGCTTCCCAAAAAGGGGCATGCGCAACATGGACTGTGTGGGACTTGGCCATGCGCAACTCAAAACATCTCCAAACAGGGTCATGCGCAACACAGACTGTGTGGTACATGGCCATGCGCAACTCAAAACAGCTCAAACAGGGCCATGCACATAAAGAAACTGTGTGGGACACGGCCATGCGCAACATGAAACTATTTGGGGCACAGCCATGTGCAACTCAAAACAGCTCCAAACAGGGCCATGCTCAACACAAAACTGTGTGGGACACAGCCATGTTCTACTCTAAACAGCTCCAAACTGGGCCATGTAATAAAAATACGAATTTGAATAAGGAAGAAAATTCGCAAAGCATCTTTGTAGTAGGAGTCAAATGATGCCATCTTGCAAACTCAAAACAAGGCTACTTTTAAGACTGGTTCCAGAGGTAGAATGTTTAAGCTCACTTGTAACTTTGTTTTAGAGCCAACATTAGAGTCATCATCAAGACAGGATCAAGACTTGGATCTGATGAAAGCCATCCAGTTAAGTCTTGAAGGTGAGGGGAGTACCGCAACAGCACCACAGAGTAGCCTGGATACAGAAACTACATCAACTTGCATACCTTTACCACCAGATGACAATGAATCATCTTCTGGTTATCAAAACGATCCAACAACAAAACATGTTAGTGACAACAACAAGTGACTAAGAAAACTTAAAAAGATTGGAAAATCCACTTGAGACTTTTCTGAGCAAGATATGTTTATTGCTTTTAGGGTGGGATATAGCTTGTAAAAATGAAACTATATTTGATTTCTATGGTAAATAATAGTTTTTAAAATTAAAATTACAAAAAAAGTGTTAAATAAGGGCCTGGTTTGCCCAGCAAAGTATTTTTTAAATGGTTCACATTGTCCCAACTGACAGTGTTGACTTCCAGTTGAATAATTGATGTTGGTTGTTGTATTGAAGTTCACGTCAATCTCTTCATAAGAGCCTTTGAGTTATATATATGTCTTCACTTGTCATTACTGGAAAACATAGAAACAAACCTCAAGGGAATGACATGTGGTCTGAAATAAAAAAAATTTATTACACCCAAAGCAAGAGGTCAAAAATAAATGCTTCTGCTTTGACTTGATGAACCACGACTCTTCACAAGACATCAACAATTTAGTGACAAATAAAAATGAAAAGCTATAAAGTGCACAATATCACAAGCTCAAATACTTCTGTAACTCATTCTTTCTAATCCATTCTATAAAATCAAATAGCCATGCACATATCACAGGGGAAAATGTTTGTGAATAAAAAGTTACTTATGTTGTGTTGTTTTACTAAATATCTATTTAAAAAATCCCTGCTAGCAGAGTCTCCCTTGTTGGCAATTCTAGATTGGCAGTCTTCCATTTTCTCTGCCAAGAATTGTCAATGAGGAAGACTCTGCTAGCAGGGCAAAAAACAGAAGAGCAAGCAAACGTTGAACTAATTTTTCTTTAATTTTTCCAAATGTGCCACCCTGCAACTATATTGAACTATTAACAAAAGTATCTCTCATGTTTATTTTTCTGGGAAGGGAAAACTAGCATGGATCGTGGTAGGGAAGGGCATAAGTTATCATAGATTATTTGTGTTTTTCCTAATTTGCTAATCTTGGGGATTTTTTATAGAACTGATGACATGATTACAAGATGCGATCATTGATTTAATCATGAATTTAATTAAGCAGATGTTTGTCACACACAAGATGTAATCTTCCACATGATATTAGATAATCATTGTAAACCTCTACGCAATCCTTTACTAAGACATGCAAGATTTCACTTGTTGTTATAGCCGAATACAGGTGAGTAAAAGCAGCATTCCTTGGCTGAGCAGCCTTTTGAAGTTTAATGAATTAAAGAAAAGCTATTGAAGTTTTTTTCTAATAGAGTGGCAAAGGGTTTCTGCATGATGTGTAATAGCACCAAAATTAGCTGTCAGACAAGTGATTATATTGCTGAGTTGCACTAGTGACAATTTCATATGGTGCAGAATGTTAATCAGCTGCATTGCAAGTTTTCAATAGAATTCTTTCTGGCTAAAAGCACATGGTGGTCAGTGTTTGACCACCATGTGGAGCAGATAATGAGATTCAAAACCTTTTATCAGCTAAGTGAAAGCCAGCAGTTCTCAAAAAAGCCATGTGATTTGCATTTGCAAAATGTGAGGTTATATGTAATGTATGGGAGGTCAAAAATTTTCTCTGTGACATGATTTAGTTTAACAACTCGGCCTGAAGTGTGATGCGAACCCCTTTGCCACCTAGTTCTAGTACTCTTCATAATTGTCACCCTTTTAATTCCCAATAGGGGCAGAAGCAATGCAGTGGAGATACATATTATTAAGTTCTTACAACATGAAAATTCTTACAATTTTACGTCACTATGAAGTAGGTTTTGATGGACATCACATCAGGAGTTTCCATGAAATTACTTAGGTATGTTCCTTTTTAAAATTCTTGGAAACATTTTGATTGCATCTACCAAAATACTATTTTGCCACAATGACAGTGTTATATTATGTTACTGTTCATGGCGTGACATTACGTCACACCCTATATAGAATTACTTAGTTTGATTTCAGAACTGATCTTGTAGTATATGGCCGTGTGTAATCACCAGTATAGGATCCAACACTAGTACCCAATAAAGCATAACATAACAGACAGCAAATTGTGTGATTTCATGTATGTGATTGGAAAGGACTAACATTACATCACACAGCCGGAAGAGTGCATGCAAGCTAGGATGTTTCAAATTCTGTGGATTATAGGTCTTACAACTTTAAGGATCTTAAACAATGGCTTGTTGGTGAACTGTGATTATATAATACAAGGCAATTAAGTAATATCTATATTTTTCATTTCATTAATTATCAATAATGCAAAGGGTAATTTTAAAAATAAACTCTGTGATTTGATGTTTGCCCGATATAGATGTATCTGTATTAACCCTACAAGATTATGCAGCAGTTCTTAGAAGAAGAATTTTGATCCAAATTAATTTGATTATTTTGTGCAGAGCGATTGGCAGTTCCTTTGTCCTCTGGTCCTCTTTGGTCCAGCTCCTTTTTCATCTTTGCTAATTGAACGTGATGGACTTTTGAGATTGTTTGCTGGAATGCTTCTTCGACATTAGTTGCATCCAGAGCAGAGGCTTCAATAAAAGATAGACTATTTTCTTCGGCATACTTTTTCGCATCTTCTGTTACAATTGCCCTCAAATGTTTCAAGTCACATTTATTGCCAACCAGCATGACAACTATTGATTGGTCGGCATGTTCTCTCACTTCCATTAACCATCTTTCTACATCTTGAAAGGTTTTTTGCTTCGTTAAATCATAAACTAGTACAGCGCCAACAGCACCCCTGTAGTAGGCACTTGTGATAGCACGATATCTTTCTTGACCAGCAGTATCCCAAACCTACAAAAGACGGACACCACAGTAAGCAAGATAATATTTTTTAAACAGAAACACAAAAGATTCAAAGACAGTTGTACTATTTTTTGCAATGATATAACTTTTCCCTTGAGTATTATTCTTTTCAGGCCTAATGTGAATTCCAAACAGAGTCAAGTAAGGCAAGTAATGCTTGTCATCAAACAAGCTTATGGTAAGGAGATCCACTTTTGCATTTTGCACCAAAATTTATGATAAAACACTTGGATTTTTCTGACCAACAAATCTCATCAAAATTCTGTCATCATTATTCAAAAGAAAAACGTTTAATACAATTAACGCAACATAACGCTCTTTTTACATAAAATGTAAATACTTTTAAAGGTTTATTGCTTGATCATCATTTCAAAGTCCTGTCAGTCAGCAAAAAAAACTATACAAGCTTAACTAGTTATATGTTTGTGTTTCAAACAAATTAATATTTGCTAACAATGATTTTTCTTCCCTTGCGTGGCCCTTTGCATGTCATCGTGAAAAATAGTACTTGAAATACTCGTTAAAACAGAAAAGAACTTTAAACAATTTAAGCACAAAAGGTTCAAATGCCATTGTTTTAAGACACGGCATCGTCATTAGCAAATTTATCTGATTCTCTACTATGTCACGTAAAACTTTCAAGACTGTAAACAAACTACTTTCTACTTTTTATTATAACAGGCTTCCTAACTCTAAGTAATTTATCTGGACAGTAGCTTTATCTTTTAAATTACACGGAAACAAAATAGGAAATACCATAGTTTCAGGTCCGTTGAACACGAATAAGTTAATCATATCAACTTATATGACACATACTAGTAATAAGCTGGAAGTACACGACGCGAAGGGGAAAAATTCCTTCACAGGAAACCTCAAAAATCACGATAAGATACCACAAAATGAACAATGAAAAAGCTGGTCAAATAAGCGACCTGTGGTCATCTGCTAGACGTCAGTATTATCAGCCACACTAACCTGAGCTTTTATAACTTTCCCGTCAACTGTGATGCTTCGAGTTGCAAATTCCACTCCTATGGTGGACTTGGACTCCAAGTCGAACTCGTTCCTCGTAAACCGTGATAAAAGAGACGACTTCCCTACACCAGAGTCGCCAATGAGCACTATCTTGTAGAGGTAGTCGTAATGATCGTACCTTCCTCCTGCCATCCTGAATAGGAAAAAATATCAACCCAAATATGTCGAAAATGCGTGGTCTTTTACTGCTGTTCGACAAAAGTACCTCGAGTGCTCTATTAGAACGACCCAGTGATCACGTGATCAGACATTCGACACCGGAAGTGGTATATCCCTATTATGTTAATTAATCGAAAATCAAAAATACTAAAAACCTTAGTTCTAAAACATTGACTTTGTAATTTTGCTCAATTCGTATTTCACTACTTAAATACTTGTTTAAAATTTTGAAAGTTTTTGCAAAAGAGCGTTTTTAGAGTATAAGGTTATAGACGGCTTGGTTACTCAGCTGTCTGGAAATATTGCTGGCCTGGTTACTTGGTTCTATTTTTGCACGTTTATAAGTTGTTTTGGATGTTTGACAAGTTTACGTATTTTGAACGTCTTTGTAATTTAGATGATTATTTTCCCCAGCTATTATAGATGACATTTGAGTGCTTGATTCATCTTTGGTGACATAGTGTATTGGGTTCGCGTAAAAGGCAAGTGTTGGAAGACAACATGGCTAGTGGGACCAAACATGACAAACGACAGAGTTGTCAGGAAAACAAGGATACTGAAAACTCCCAAAAGAAGAAACATAAAAAGAGAACGAAGAAAATAGAATCACAGCTCAAAGATCAGGTAGCTATTGGGTCAGTAAACGCCTAGCAGAATTTGAATGATGAATTTGAATGATGTTGAAAGCTGCAATAACTGGCTGTTTCGTTTTTGTGTATATAGTACTAGTGCATATATGAAAGGGGGGGGGGGGGGGGGGGGGGGGGGTTGGAAGCTAATGCTACTGTTTGTAATGCAACAGGCAACAAAGAATTTTCATTTTATTGACATATTAGTATATTTCAAATCTAATGAGGAGGTGCTGCCTTTATGATAATGTTTCCACATGGCATATTAAAAGATCTAATGTTCAACAATAGATCCTCTCTTGCAGCCATTCCCCACTCTGTATATGAGGGATATCAAATAATTGTTTAAACAGTGTATTCATATAAGAGTGAATTGTTTTGCAAGGGGCATAACATTTTATGGTAATCAAGGGTGATATAGAGAATTTCCCCGGGGGGGGGGGGGGGGGGCCCTTATATTTGCTATACGGGTATGTGCCACAAAAAAGGGTATGAATTTCAGCGATTTTAGTCTGGAACAGGG